TTGACCAGAAAACAGGAAATGAAATAAACAAGAGTCTTTGCTAGGCAGAGAAAAAACAAAACCAGGGACTGAAACTGTCACAATCTGAGAGCAGTCTTTCTTTCCGATGGAAAAACTTAAGCATTTGCCAGAAGGTGGGCCTCCACTGGTTCCTAGGGAATCATTTAGTGTCTGTTAAAATACCTTCCGTAGAACTCACCCTCGATTATGTACGCCTCTGATGGAAAAGAGCCTACTATCCTTGACTAAGAAGTAGCCTTCTTGTATGTCTTTTACTTCTGGTCCTACACAGCCCAGGGTTTCCCACAAACACCAGTATGACGTTACCACTCAGAGGACGTCCACAACTTCCTGGTCCACTGGACCACCACCTCTCGCTCCAGGCCTAATACAGCTACACCTCTTATTGCGGTGTTTCCTCTGTTGCTAGGGGGAAGGAGTGATTTTGCAGCAGGGCTGGGAGGCAATGAGCAGCTGAAACCTTGAAGCGCTGAGCACTACGGCGCCAGGTTGAGCTGGAGACCGCGCAGTAGGAGGTACCTGATGGATCGTTGGTGTCTGAGGCAGACTCGATTCTGTGCGAAGGGTGTAGGCGGGGAGTGTAGGAGGAGGAGTGCGGGGAAAACAGGGTCAGAAGCTGGCGCGGAGATTGGGTCGTGAAGGGAGCAGGCTGCCAAGGGCACGGAGGCCATGCCTGCGAGGACAAGCCAGCGGGGGAGGCGCGTCCTGGCAGCGCCGGAGGGCCAGGGAGTCAAAGCTGCCGCGAGAAGCCATTAGGCGGGACGGAATTCCCAGGCTGGGCCAGTAGGGCCATGGAGATCCCCAAAGCTGGGCTGCTCCGGATTGCAGGGGTGGGAGACCCCAGAACAAGCGCCTGGAGGCCAGACTGGTGAGGTATAACCAGGTAGACCAGAGCTCTCTGGACTCTGCCTGGGTACCCACCTACTTGACACTCCACCCCTAAGCTAGCAGTTTGAGATCTCAAGGCTCTGGCTCCCTTCCCCTGGGAACCAAAGCCTCTCTGCAGGCAAGTCCTGCCCTGGCAGCCCCGGCTCCTTCATACCTTTGATACCATGCACCAGAGGCGGAGCTCTCCCCCAGTTCCAGGCTCCAGCTATTCCTGGATGTTGGCAGGTTGTGTTCCTTTCTGGAGGCTCTGGGAAATCAAATTCCTGCTTGTTTGGGTTGTTGGCAGAATTCAGTTCCATGTGGTTGCAGGACTGAGGTCTCTAAACTCCCTAGGGGCTCTCTGGTTGGATTGAGGGGATCTGTGAAGTCACACAATTAATTTCTTCCAAGAACCTTTTGTGTGATTGAACACTCTGACCTATTGATCTCGCTGAGCCAGGACTGAGGCTGTTGACTGTCAGATGTGTGCTGTCCTTAGCTCCTGGGGTTCCTCTCCAGCCCTAGCAGACAAGCTATATCTCAGAACCAGCAATAAGGCATCCAACAATCTCATCATACTGTCTATCTCTGACTCTTCTGTCTGTATCTTTCTCCCTGCAGCTGGGCAAGGTTCTCCACCTTTTAAACTCCTGTGGTTAGATTGAGCCCACCTGAGATAAATCTCATCACAAGGTGCATATTAATTACATATGCAAAGTCCCATTGGCCATCTATGGTAACATTCACAGGTTCTGGGGATTAGGGCATGGACATCTTTGGGAGCAATTATTCTGTCTACTAGACTTTGCCCTCTGGTCCTCAGATTCATACCTGTCCTGCTTGAAAAATATATTAAACCCATCCCAAGATCCCAAAAGGTCTCCTTCAATTACAATATCAACTCACCATCCAAATCTCATCTAAATCTCATTAGCTCAAAAGTCCCAAATCTCATCTAAATTGTCCAAATCAGGTGTGGGTGAAGCTCTGGGTATAATCCACCCTGGGGCACAAATCCTCTCCATCTCCAGCTCTGTGAAACTAGAAAGCAAGTGTCTGCTCCCAAAATAAAAGGGTGGAACAGACCTAGGATAACAGTTATATACATTCTGTTTCAAAGGGGTAGAAAATAGTAGGAAAAAAGAGCCACCAGTCCCAAGACATTTTGAATCAAGTTTGGCAAACTACATTAGACATCAAGGCCTGGGAATATCATCTGTGGTTCAAGGCTCTGACCACTGGGCTTGAAGCTGCACACTCTGTGTTCTACTCTGCTGAGTCATGTTTCCTTTCCCAGGAAAAGGTAACAAGCATTTGCAGCTTAGTTTTCTCAGCCAGTTTCCTATGTGTAGAATACTGGAGGTTCTGAAACCGAGGAAGAGGTTAAAAAATCTTCCCTGGCCTAGAAGAAGAGAGCAAAAACTTGGAGATAAGCTTTGCTAACTGCAGCTGTGCATATTCACCATAATCAACCGTTGTTTAAAACTAACCAGGTCTTTCTGTCCCTCCTTAGTATATGAGTGAGCTGTCTTTCCCAGGAAATCAAGGTCCAGACATCAAGATTCAGCCTCACAAGGCCAAACGCAGGCTGATGAAACTTTCCCAGAAAACTCCAGACAGTCAAGGGAAAGAAACTCAGTCTTCAAGGTCAAATGTAAGCTGGTGGGAAGGTGCCAGCCAGCACATCCACATGCTCCCCCTCCCTTACCTAAAACCCCAGCACATGCTCTCCCTCACAACCTTTAAAAACCCTTGCCTCTCACCTTTCGGGGAGACGGGACAAATTTGAGTTTCCTGGCTGACGTCACCCGAAATAAAAACTCTTTCCTTGCCATAAGCCTGGCATTCTAGTTTTATTTGGCCCCTCTTGTGTGGCGGCAAAAAACCTGGGTATGTATCTGGTAACAGTTCTATACCCTTTAGTTTCACACTCTGTCCCTTTAGATCCAAGATATTTCTACTAGAATAAAATTTTCAAGAACTCTGTGGGTCTCCCATATGACAGAGATTCACTCCATTAAACAAGAGGTTGGTCCAGTTTTTTATCCCTAGATAATCTCACATCTATTTTTGGCTTTTGCTGAGATGGCTGAGGGATGACTTGAAGCTTCCTAGCTGCTCTCTGGTTGCGTTGAGGACACTTGCTTAGTCATACAAGTAATCTCTTCAAAGAGATTTCTGTGTGACTCTGACTCTGATTTACTGATCTTGATGAGATATTACAAAAGGTTGTGCAGCCACACCCTCAGCTATTTCTCTAGAACATGCTTTCATGACCATTCATCTCTTAATTTCAATGTCTTTTAAACTAAGAGGGCCTGAGAATTTCCCAAATCGAGTCTTGGGTCTTTTCTGTTTAACAGTTCTTCCCTATATTTATCTCTTCCCTGTCACATTTTATAATAATTAGTAAGAAAAAACAAGGCCACACTTTCAACACTTTTAATTAGAAAATCCCTAAGCTAAATGTCCAAAAAAAGACTAGTACATGAATATTTGCAGCAGCTTTATTTTTAATATTTAGAATCTGGAAAAAACCCAAATGTCAATTAAGATCGATTAAATTGTGGTATATCCATACAGATTACTCTGCAATAAAGAGAATGAGCTATTCATACACACAACACGGATGAGTTTCAAGTAATTATGCTACATAAAAGACAGGAAACAAAAACTTTTAAGGTTCTGCTTAAATCAAATTCTAGAAAAGGCAAATTTATTTATATTGAAAGTAAATCAGTGGTTGCCTAGGGATAGGTGGGCAACTATTAGGAAGGACGTTGCGAGAGGGATTATGAAGGAGCACGAGGTAACTTTGGGGGTGATGGATATGTCCAATATCATGGCTAGGTTGATGATTTCATATGTATATACATATATTAAGGCTTACCAAATCGTACACTTTAAGAATGTGCAGTCTACTGCATGTTGACTACATTGAAAGAAACTATAAGAAATGATTCCTCTAAAAGTCTGGGTTTCCCACTTCCATTGGAAAACCAGAAGATTGAGCATCAATATAGTCATGCACGACGTAACAATGTTTCCGTCAACAACAGACCCCATATACAACAGTGGTCCCGTAAGATGAGTACCATATGGCCTAGGTGTGTAGTATACCATCTAGGTTTAAGTACACTCAATGGCGTGTGCACAATGACAAAACTGCCTAACACATTTCTCAGCAAGTTTCCTTGTTGTTAAGCAATGCATGACTATAGTGACTACCATCTCATTCTAAACGCCTTTGAAGAGAACCTCTTCCTCAGTAGCAAGAAAAACTGGTAAGCAATGAAGGCTGTTTCCAAGTCAGTCACCAGGAACTCCGGCTGGTCACAAAATCTATATTCTTGGACCAGAGTCTCTCTACTCTCAGTCCCAGGGTTCTTGTCCATGCAGCAAAGACATCCAGTAAACAGCCCAGAGAGAAGGAATCGAGGAAAATTTTACATTCTTTGCTCTGTCACTGACCTTAGTCCTAAGAGTGACACAGCCCTGGAGATCCTGCGAATTTCCATACATCCTGATCTCATACAGCCATAGTGACTAGAATGTTGATGGATGTGTTTCTACAGTGGGCACATCCACTCGTTTGCTGCGCTGTCTCCAATCCCAATTATTCACACCCAGTGTTTCTGTATCAATTTTGTTTCCTTCCTGAACATGGCAGGTCTTAGAGCCAGTGATTTGTGTACCAGATTCTGGCCTTCAGGATATACGGCACTTGGCAGGTCCTGAGGAACAGCTTCCCCTCAACAGTGCTGGGGAATATGCAACATATGCTGGAAACAGGACACTCAATCCCTGCTGCTCTCAAACACACTGCAAGTTGTTACAACAGCACCCTCCTCAAGGTGATATCTGGGCCCTTACATAACTGAAATCTAGACAAAATTAGGCTCACAAAGCCCTGAATTTTCACTCAAGCTTTTGTCAGCAATGGAAATTAATATCAAAACTGGACTGAGAACTGTTCTGTCAACCTGCTGTTCCATTTGAGGGACACAAAGTTGGAAGCCCCCACAAACACTGTTTACCTCATCAGTCTGGCAGGTACCTAGTTGTTTTCAAACCACTCCAAACAGTAAAAAAAACCTCCAAGATTAAAGGCGGCTTAAATAATGTCTTTATTATCACACAAATTAAAGCGACATGAGACAAGCAGTTCTCCAGGTTGGGTGACTTGGAGGCTAGAAAAATCTGTCACAAGTATCACGAGACCAAAAATGTCCATGAAGAAAGTAAACTTTTTCTGCTACCAAAACACAGCTCAGGCCCTCCTGGCTAAAAAAGCGTCACGTCAACACCTTTACCAGTCAGTGAGGAGGGAATGAGGATCCCCATTTAACTCACGTTCCTTATAATTCCCTCCAGGGATTGGACAGAGAGTACAAAGTTCTGGCTTTCCTGAGGATATTAAGGTAACTTAAGCTGGTAGAGTTGAGATGGTTTCAGCCACAGGCACTGACACTGACGAATCTGGCAAGGAACTCGAGCCGGTCTGAAAGTGCAACACAGGCCCTGAAAGCTTCCCTTGTACCTAGCATTCATAAGGCATGTCCCTAGTGTTAATGTTCAGATATATGATGTTCAACATCTGATTGATGTCTCTCTCTCAAAGGTTAATCACAGAGCTCCTCTACCTATGAGTCCTGTTGTGTTGAAAGCACTCCTAAAGCCTTCCTGCAGTGTGAACTTTCTGGTGCCGAATGAGGTGGGAGCTTAGGCTATAAGCTTTCCCACATTCATTGCACTCATAAGGCCTTTCTCCAGTGTGAACTTTTTGGTGCCGAACAAGGTGGGAGGTCCTGATGAAATCTTTCCCACATTTGCTGCACACAAAAGGCCTTTCCCCCGTGTGAACTCTCTGGTGTGCAATAAAGTCAGAGCTTCGACTAAAGAATTTCCCACATTCAATGCACTCAAAAGGCCTTGCCTCAGTGTGAATTCTCTGGTGTTTAATGAGAGTGTATTTGTGGCCAAAGGATTTCCCACAATCACTACAAACATAAGGATTTTCTCCAGTATGGATACTCTCATGCTGAACAAGTGTGGATTTGTGTCTGAAGACTTTCCCACAATCGTTGCACTTATAAGGCCTTGCTCCATTGTGAACTCTCTGGTGTACAATTAGGTTGGAGTGATGGCTGAAGTATTTTCCACATTCGCCACACTTATAAGGCATTTCTCCAGTGTGAATTCTTTTATGCTGAGTGAGGTTGTCTTTGCGACTAAAGGCTTTCCCACACTCACTGCACTCATAAGGCCTTTCTCCAGTATGGATTCTCTGGTGCTGGACAAGTGTGGCTTTTCGACTAAAAGCTTTCCCACATTCACTGCACTCGTAAGGCTTTTCTCCAGTATGGATTCGCTGATGCTGGACAAGTGTGTCTTTGCGGTTGAAGGCCTTCCCACATTCACTGCATTTGTAATGCATCTGTCCAATGTGAAAGGCCTCTCCACTCTCAGTGCTCCTTTTCTTCCTCTTGCTGTGGGTAACCTTTTGCTGGTGACTGCCCAAGGTGGCCTGGAACTTCTTCTGTTCCTCCTCACATGTAAACGGCTTCTCTGACAAGTGAGGTTCTTCACAAACTCTACAGTTTTTCACAAATGAGGTCTTGCCTTTGTCTCTTAAGGGTTTCTCTACATTGTACTGTTTCTGGTGCTGGTCAAAGTTTGCACTGAACCACAACTGTCTTCCACATGCCCCACATGTATAAGGTTTCAGTCCATGGTATGTTTCCTGGTGTTCATCCAGGTGCAAAATATCTTTCAAGATGGGGGCACATATGTCACAAGGGTGAGCCATCTGGGTTGATGAACCTGCCCTGGAAGTACTAACATGTGACAGTCCTACAGAAATGCTCTGCACAGAAGGTGCCTCTTCATCCTCCACTCCACTCGAACAATCTAAAGGCAAAAAATGCTGTTGAAGTGCATGTTGATTTTGGTAGAAAGGGGCCACCCTGTCACAAGTGTCTGTCTAGCATACCCAGGACTGAGTCCACGGGGTTGTTGGCAGGATGACAGACTTGGCATTAGGTTAAAGAAAGAACGGCTGTGTAGTACTGGGTTCTAAGAATCACAGAATGGGGAAGGCCTCACAAGGAATAAAGACACAAGGATGGAGCGTAGTTCACAAAGAAGAAGCAGGCAGGATCTCCAACTTACTCCTCTGCAAATAACTTTTAGAAAGGTGTTGGCTATTGGCGATAGGTGAGTACTATACAGAAATGTAAATCCACACCCAGGAAATTTCCAATTTAAAATGAGTAACTAGTATTCAAAAACTAGGGAAATGTGTACATCTCATGACACATTAGCATTGTCCAATTAGGAGAGCACTGCAGAGGGAGCAGTAGAGGGCACTGGTGAGTGAGCGTGAACAGCCCTGCATCATAGGTCAGAATAAAAATGACAAGTGTGTAAGTGTCCAGAATGGGGAGGAAAAGATACAAATAAAGTATGGCTTATAGCCTGGGCACCAAACAGTAATAGGTACAGCACAGGTTTCTGGTGCTATCTGAACCTAGCCCTGAAGTCACACCCTCCCTTAGCCCCCACTCACCAAGGCCCGTCCAAGCCTCTCCTGCTGTGGCTAGAGTCATGACCTCTCAGTCAGGCATTCAGTGTTCTTTCCCCTGCTACAGTTCAGCAATCACAGAGAGTCTGTAAGATACAAGTCATAGAGAAAAGACAGGGCAAATGAGTGGGAAAGCACTGACCCAGAGCAGCCTACCCATGAGAGAGTAAAAGAAAACTAAATATTATAAAACAAACATCAGAAATGTCTTGCTGGAACAGCCCAGTGGGCCTTATAAGCAGTGATCATGACTGGAACTCATGACACAGATAGGCCCAAGGAAATGTCACTTGAAGGAGGCAGAATCTGGAGCACAGAGATATCGTGAATGTGGACAGAACCACCCACCTAGGGAGAAGCCAAGCACAGTAGTATCCATGGGGATCACCACAAGACTCCAGACCCTCAAACCATTCCTGGCAAGGATTTAGGGCAGCAGAACTTGGGAAACATAGGTAGTGGAGGAGGCAGTACACACAGCTGAGCCCTGGCACCAAGAGGACCTATGTGAGGGAGTGAGGACAAATAGCAGTGTCTATGGTCCAGCTATGGGAAGGAAATGGCAACTTCTGGGAGAAAAAAGTAAGAACAGAGCACAGCCCAGAAAACTGGGATATGTGGGGCCTTACCCAGAAAGACTGTAAGTGCAAAGCACAGAAAGCACTGCATTGATTGACATGAGAACCTCTGAGCCTTATCAAGTAGCCCCCACTCCTCCCAGGGGAAATACACAAACATATCCTCAAAAGTCACATGACTGCATAAAATGGACAACTGAGCACAGGGTCAGCCACCTTCCCCAGGACTCCTGGTCTATCCACCACACATTCACTTTCCTCCTCAGCTCTGTAACTCAGACAAGATACCAGGGACTTGTGTGATTGGTGCCTGCTCTTTCCTCATTTCTCGTTAATCACTTTGTCCAGCCTAGAACAGGCAGGGGGACAAACGTTGTCTAGCCTGGGCCTGGCATGCAGGGCCCAACTGTTCTCCTGCCAGCTAGATCCCCTGGGGTCCAGAGATCATGCCTCTCATACACAAATTTGACTTTAGCAGTGTCCCTAAAGCTCTCAGTACCAGAGCCCTCAGGCAGTGAATTCAGATCCATCCCTGTACACATCACTCTTTAGACCACACCTCCTTCATTATCTATGGACACCAACAACGTAGGTACCTCACACGTGCAAATCTGCATACAGCATCCAGAGAAAGCTTAATTAACACATCCAGGATCACATTCAGCCCCAGTCAAGGACCCTACAGCCATGGGGTATCTCTGAACCTGGCTTTTAAATCCTCCCCTCCTGGCCTTATTCCTTGAGTCAACTTTGGCAATCCAGAACCAAATGCAGATATCAGATAAACCCAGCCCTTTTCCACTTTGCTGTTGCATGCTGAGATTGCTAAATTCTCATCAGTCACAGGCTTAACACTTAACACTAACTCTCATTCAAAGCCCACACCCACTGGCCTTCTACTCCAAGCACAGAAACAGCTGACAGCTGACTCCCTTTGCCCGTCAGTTAATCTACTAGCTTCACCAAAACTCCCCAGTCCCACCAAAGATCACCACAAAAGCCTGGGAAGCACAGAGAGAGGGGAATAAACTTTGGCCTCATTTTCATCTCATCTTTATTACTGCTACCCCCCCAGCACCCATCTCATGTCCACTCTCTCCCAGGAAGACTTCACCACCTGCCAGATCCTATTCTCCCACCACCATGGACACTAACCTCCCTTTTGTCTCTTAGGTGACTCCTACTCCCACTCACTCCACTGGGCCCACACCCTTTCCAGAACCCTAATGGCACTGCCACCATGACATAAAGGTTTTCTCTCTAAATCTGATACACAGCTATACCCTATCCATACACTGGCTGCACCTTGCAAATGTCTCCAACTTAAATCCTTCCTCTGAACTCCAAACCTGTGTGTCCAGCTGTCCACTTGATACCTCCACTCAGATATCTCTGGAACATCACAGATTCACCATAGTAAAATCTAACTTCTGATATCACCTCTGAAAGTTACTCTCACCAACTTCACCATCTCAACTGAGGATTTTTCTATCCTTACACCTTCTCAGGCCAAATACTGTGGGGTCATCCCTGACTCCTCTCCTTTTTTCTCTTATCCCCCACATCAGAAAACCTGCTTGGTTCTACTCAAGAAAAAAAAAAAAAAAAAGAGATCCAGAATCCAAACACTTGACTCTCACCGTGATAGCCACCACTCTCCTCCAGCCATCATCAACACACCTCTTTCCTCACCCCCATAGTCTTTTCTTCACTGTGCAGTCAGATGAAAGCCTGTTAAGACTAGAGTCAGTTCACTCCTTCCTCTGCTTCAAACCTCCCAAGGCTCCCACCACTCTTGAGAATAAGAAGCCCAGCTCCACAGGCTGCCATTCGAGCTGAATCCTCTCCCCTGCTCTCTGATCACACTAGACATAATGCAGACCTGAGGTTCCCTGAACACTCCCGGTTCAGCCTCAAGTAATGCGTCTGCATATGCTGATTCCTGTGCCTGGGACACTGTTCTACATTCATCCCATTGCCTACTAGAAATGAAAGCCCTTCCATATAATTCCAGCATAGAATTCAGAGCACAAGACTTTTGGTGACATCAGGATCCCCAAACCCAATGGCAGGTAGAAGAGTAGATGAAGATTCCCAAGACACCACCATGTGTCATACTGGGTTGCCAAGATCACTCGGAGGTGGAGGTGGGTTGAATGGGGAGCTGCATACTCTGCACTCACTTATGCAGGGATCATAAATGCCTCTGCTGCCACAGCAACCTGGTGGAAAGAGGGAGATGTGAGTGGCAAGTTACCACGGTGGGATCTCATAGACTGAACTGTTCCCCAACCCCTTTGGTGAGGATGATTTCAGGTTGTCTAACCTCAGATACTCAGACCTTAGTGCTGCCTCCTATCAGCTGTGTGACCATGAACAAAGAATTGGGTCTCAGTACCCTCATCTGTGAAGTGGGGATAATAAGGGTACCCACCTCACAGGGCTGTTATTTGTATCAGACATGTTGATACATGTCAAGCACCTTTGTATTATCTTTTACTGTCTACAAGCTGAACGCTATTGCAAGTGTTGTTGGTGCAAATGAAGTGACAGATTTTTGAAATTCTAGATTTGTTTTTAAGCTTTTAAGAAAACGTGATATTTAAGACTTCCCATTGTAATCAAATACTTAGAGAAAAGCACTTCAATTTATTAAGCATTGGTATAAATTTATCATGTTTATGTATTTTTAATTTTTAACTGTCTGCTTATGTATACTTGCCAGGTGTACACTAGGGCTTTCACCAAACCAGCCTACCTGGTATGTACTCCTCTGAAAATGAGCCTGCTGGTGACCCTTCATTAGAGACATTCATCGTCTCTTCTGACCTGAGGAATTGGGGAACTGATGTACCAGTGCACTGGATTGGGCTGGGGCTGCTCTACTAACCTGGCTGACTTTCCCTCTGCTCCACGGGCACTGCCTATGGGGGCATGCTGAGTCCACAGGGTGGCAAATCTATAGCACCTCACACCTTGCTCTCCATTTCAGGCCAGGCTCCTAATACCCTACAGCCCTCTCCTCCTGCTGACACCAGCCAGAACCCTTTCAGATGCCAGGACCCCCTCCTTTCTGGAGGTAATCTCAGGAATATCCACCTCTTCCGTGCCCTCCATTCTCTCACCTCAGGGACCATATAAGATAACATCCTTAGCATTCTTCCCCTAAATCTGATCTCCAGGTTTTGACCTGAGCCTCATCTATCAGAGTTCTCCAGCACAGCTCGCTCCACAGAACTCCAGACCTGCATGTCCAGACGCCCGTGAGACACCTCAGATTTACCACGTCCAAAAGCCAACTCCTGATCCCCCTTGAAAGATGCTCCCTGCTCCAACTTACCCATTTCCACCCTTTCAGATGTTGGGGGGGGGGGGAACTTGGGTAGCTCTTCACTCTCTACTTTCACTTATACCCCATGCAGCAAGAAATCCTGCTCGTTTTATCTTTAAAATCTCTCCAAAATTTAATGATTTCTCTAGCCCCACTCCCTCCTGCCACTGCTCTGGTACAGCCACCACAACAGCCCAGGAGTTTGTGGCCTCTTCACCGGGTCACTGCCTCCATCCTCACCATCACATCACCCTAGTCTGTTTTCCCCTGAGCGAACGTTGGGATACTTTTAAAACCCTTAATCAGGGCCGCCCAGTGGCTTAGCGGTTAAATGCGCGCACTCCGCTGCAGGCGGCCCGGGTTCGGATCCTGGGCGCGCACAGCCGCACCACTTCTCCGGCCATGCTGAGGCGCGTCCCACATACAGCAACTAGAAGGATGTGCAGCTATGACATACAACTATGTACTACGGCTTTGAGGAGAAATAAATAAATAAAATCTTAAAACCCTTAATCAGATCACGTCCCTCCACGGCTCCCAGCGCCCTCACAATAAAGGTACTCGCCTCACTCGGCCATTCCAGACATGACTACTACTCACACTCTCCGCTCCCTGCAGATAGGAAGACCCCCGTTTCCCGAAAGCTCCCGGCTCAGTCGCACCTCCAAGCCTTTGCTCGTACGAGTCGCTCGGCCGGGAACACTCCTCCAAGTCTCATCACACTGGATGTTAGAAATGGGGGCTCCACCCACAAACGACCTGGAGCCCGGCCCGCAATGACCTCAACAGGCACTCCTCATTCGGGGCCTCATGATTCGGAGGTGTGGGTCGGGGACGCGCCAAGATTCGGTGAACGCAGCACCCACCTACGCCAGGTCCATCACCGCGGCCACAGCCATGACAGTCCGCACCACACGGAGCTGTAAGGAGTCCCTGGTCGGGACCCGGGCACCGCCGTCGCTCGGCCGTGGCGGCGGAGTCTTCGCGGGCGTTGCCACTGCCCAGCCTCTTTGCAGCGGGGCAGGGTCTCTTCCCGCGCCTTCCTGCTTCACTCACCTCTGAACCGAACCAGAGGCCCCCGATTTCTCCTAGGATAGTCCCAACAGCCGACAAAATGTCCGCCGCGAGGAAGATACCGGAAGTCCCGCCCAGACGTCTTCCGCACGTACGGAAACTCCCTTAACAGAGCCGCCACTGCGCGGCGCAGAAGTTTCTGGGTAATGTAGTTCTCCTGAGCAATCGGCCTGACCGAGGCGCTGACAACCTCCCTGCCCCGGCCAAGGCCATGTGGCACCGCAAGGGGCGCTGGGAAATGGTGCCTCGAGGTTATGAGGACGGGGCGGGGCTTCACCCTCTTAAAGAGCCCGCACCCAGATTCTGTGCAGTGTAGTCTGCAGGTGTTGCAGAAACGTTTAGGAACATTGTTTCAGATATTCCGCAAAGCTGCAAAACCAAATGGACACACCACACCAAATATCACTTTGAGTCCACTCATATTTCCTTGTTGTTTTTAAAATACGTATAGACAGAGCTTTAAGTCAGTTCTGTGCCCTTCAGTTGGGTCAGGTGTAAGAGAGAATTGTCTCCAGACAAAGGCATGGAGTGGAAGGAGGAGGAGTGATGACGGGTGCCCTGAAGCAAGCGGGCGAACTGGAGCTCTTCCTCTGGTTTACTCAGACACTACTACTGACAGGGCAAGGGGAGGAAGGCGAGGAGAGGTTATTGGGCTACTTTGAAATAGGAGGTCAAGGAAGGTGTCTTGCCTACCTGTTATGTAAGCAAATTTTTATATTTTCCAGTCTGCGTGGAAGCCACTCTGGTTTGAACCTGATTTGGCCTGAATTTTGTTTTAACCAGAGCAGCCTGATTTATGGCCTACCAAACATACATTGTACATCTGCTTTAAATGTTACCCTAAAGTAAAGAATGTACTCTTTGAAGATAAAACATTTATGCCTCCCTTCCCTTGATGCCAACACTCTTTAAAGTTAAGACTGAATGCCTCCTTTCCCACAGCACCAAAGCCATGTTGACTCCCTGTGTACACTGTGTGGGCTAATCTGTGAGAAAATATCTCCCTGAACCGTTGAAAGAATTTCCCCCACATCCCCATCATGCTTGATGTATGTCTCTTTGTTTGAAAATGGTATATAACTGTGCTGAAAAGCACTCTTCTCCAGAGTGCTTTGCATTCCCGGGCTATAGTCCTCAGTTTGGGTCAAATAAAACTCTCTACTATAGAATGATTATTGATTATTTACATCAACACTTGTACAGTCACTGATGGTGTCCATCCCAGGGAGCAGTACTGTTTAGTCCAAATGATATCTCTTAGCCCAAAAGCTGATATATATTTATTTCTATTAGGAATATGCTGCCTATCTGAAAAGAACCATTATAAATGCTTTTGTATGCCAGGACAGTGGTTGACATGGTCCTAGTGGCAGCAAATGTGCAAAGGTGACATCTGAACCCAGAAATAAAAATATGGAACAGCATGATTTCATTTCTTTGCTGGAAAGTGATTTTCATTTCACTTGCCATTACAGAGACAGTGTCTGAATTGGGAGTTGAGATTATTTATGGTAAAAACAAAAAAAGAGAGAGAGAGGGAGAAGAAAAACGATAAGGCAGAGAAGAAGAAAGAGGAGAAAAGAAAGAGAGATGGGGGAGAAAGAGAAAGAGGAGGGAAGGAAGGAAGAAAAGAAAGAAAAACAGACACTTGTGAATTGTTTAAATGCTCAAAGTTATTAATAATTCTCTAGTTATTCACAGATATATGCAAAAATGGCTCTGGGGAACATATCTGTGACAGGCAAAAACAGTTAAGATGTCCACAAAATTTGAGCTGGAGACACTGAAGTCTGAGAAGTGAGAAAATGAAGCTGAGCACACGGCTGTGCTGGAACCTTGCCTACAGCAGGATTTAGTCTCCAAAATGTAATTTCTTTTCATTCTTGAAAACACTGAATATCTGCTTCGAGAGAGAATAAAGAAAACATTTAGAAAGTGTTCCCAGAATGGTGAAGATGAACAAGGATACTGTAATATCACGCTTATTCACATCTCTAACAAATATTCAATGAACACCTACTGCATTTCAGGCACTATCCTATGTGCATGCAACAAATTTGAAAACACGAAACAAAGACCCCAGCCATCAAGGAGCTTACACTGTAATCAAGAGACAGAAGAAGAAATATGAAAAAAAATATTGAATTATATACAATGTTAGAATATGGTAGTGTGGGGGATCAGAATTTGTCACCCCAAAATGTGTCTCTCTGGCTTATTTCTAAGAACAAAAGACTCAGGAAGAAACTTTGACCTTCCCCCTAACTGCCTAAAAGAGTTTAAGATAGCAGGCCTGTTTCAGAAAGGAGCTATCACCATAGATAACTATAATATAAAATAAACTAGGTGTAGTAGGCAAGGAGGAACCTAGCAAGGCCCGTGTAATCAAAGTCCTTCCCTGGGGCCAGCCCAGTGGTGTAGGGGTTAAGTTTGCGCGCTCCGCTTTGGTGGCCTAGGGTTTGCAAGTTTGCATCCTGGGCATAGACCTACGCACTGCTTATCGAGCCATGCTGTGGTGGAGTCCCACATATAAAGTAGAGGAAGATGGGCATGGATGTTAGCATAGGGCCAATTTTCCTCAGCAAAAAAAAAAAGAAAAGAAAAGAAAAATAATCAAAGTCCTCCCCACATCACATTGTCTTTGCAAAGCATGGCAAACATTTGCCTACCAAACTTTTGCTTTTCCATCTCCATGTGAATTGCCTTCCTCCCCTTTCAAGTCCCAAACCACTACCCCCAACATGCCCTGAAGATGGTATTTAAGGTGGTGGCTTTGGCCTTTTTCTGGAGTTACTCAGTTTTCCTAGGTTTCTACTATGTATACATGTTATTAAATGTTTGATTTTCTCCTGTTATTCTGTCTCATGTCAATTTAATTCTTAGACCAGCCAGAAGAACCTAGAGGGTAGAGGAATATTCTTACTCCCCTACAGTAGGCACAATAGAAAAGAGAGAAGGTGAGGAGACTGAGAAGTGGGAGGATGAGATGTAATATTATACAGCCAAGGGAGGCTGATTTGTGCCCAGGTCTTAATTTATAAAGGTGACTGAGTGATGACATGGATAGGTAGATGCCATTGAAAGAAAAGTCTAATGTTACTCACAATTCCCCTAGAAATGAGAGGCACAGCATACCAAGAAAGCTGTTCCCAAACCAAAAATGGGTTTGCCTCCTGGTGAGTTACAATCAGACTCTAGACCAGAAGTAGTTGTCACACAAAGTAGAACTTATTTGCAGCAAATAGGAGGCCATGCAGAATCACTTCCAAAGTTGTGGCTGTCCCTGAGCAAAGGGTAGCAGGGACCTTTTATTTCGGATGGGGAATGAATATTCAAAAGGGAGAGGTGGGTATTGGCTTGGGCAGGCTCAGTTGGCCACGTACACTGCAGGTTATGTTAATAAGGCCTAAGCTCCTCCCAGAGAGATCTTAGCATTAAAAATGAGGCAAAGGTCATAGGCCTCCTCTTGTGGTGGGGCTTGGTCTGGTTCAGGGTGGTTGGTGATTGCATCTCTTAAACAGTTAAAGGCTTCCTAACCCACCTTTGAGTTCCTCAGGGCAATTAGTCAGTGACAAAGCCACAAAAGGAACACCAGTTTTTGGTTAGGAGGTAGAAGCAGGAGCCAAGGGAAAGCCTAGGACAGAGTCTTTATTGTGTCTTCTGCATGAATGGCAGGGCAAAGTAAACAAGATTGGCTAGTTTGAACAATTTCACTGGGTTTTGGGTTGTAGCAGTGGTCTCTGCTTGCCTGGTACCCGGCCCTGGGACGATATAGAGCACACAGTTTTGTTCCAGAAGCATTTAAATGATTCTACATTCCTAGGTAATGGAGCCCCATTCGAGGTAAGCCACTGAGTGCTTATGTAAAACCTTAAGCCCATGAAAAATATTAACACAAATTAAACTCCTTAAAGAAAATGTGCAGATTTTCAACTAGAGGAAATAGGCTAATGAAAAAAAGAAATAGCTCTTTCTATGAGACACAGTGTTGCTCTTAAGTTTATTACAGTCCAGAAATTTATTTATTTCATCACGATTTATCATTCATAACAACCATGTTGCCTATATTGTACTAAAATGATACTTAGATAATTTATGTACAGATTTTATATGCATATACATTAAACTGTATTTTACGTTAGACACTTTCAAAAATAAAATAAATTTTCAAGACAATTTTAGTTAAATAGACAACACAGAAATGCAAAATCGTATGTTTTGCCACATATATGTTTTAATGACCAACTATAATGTTTGTAAAGTTAGTAGTAATAAAAGTCAAATGGTTATTTAAAGATGGAAAATACAGGTGAAATGAAAAGGAAACTCTTTGAAAGTTTCCTTTGAGTACCAATGACTGACAAAATTTCCTAAAAATTAATTTTATTTCATAAAAAAAAATAATTTTCAGAATTTGTTAAAGAAAACCAGAGCTGGACAACAGTTAAAGTGGTAAAAGCAGGTTTGAATCAGGAACAATTGCCAATGGGGGAAAGGAGACCTCAGTATAGAACTCTGCTCAATTCCGAATACAGCATGAACAAGTAGAGATTTATAATCAAGCAGCAGGGTAGGGGGCAGTAAATGGAAAATTACTAAGAGGAAATCTCAGGGGTAAGGGAGGATTCTTGTTAAACTGACCTAACAGGATTCTTGCTGAAGGCAGACCAGGGTGGTCAGCTATCACCTGGGGGAATGGTGGGAATGAGGAGGTTGATCAGATATCCAGGGTGATCAGATATTAAGTGGGATGGATTCTGGCTAAACTGACTTAACAGGATTCTTGCTAAAATTGGGCACTGAAGTTCAAAAGTTGAAACCTAGTCGGGAAGAAGATTCAGAGGAGCCTGACTAACGTTTGGTCAAGAAGAGACTCTTTGTCAGATCTGACTCCTAAATATTGGTAAATTGGAAATTACTTTACTACTTATTTTTTAAATGAAAAAATATTGTAAACTAAGGTAAAATAGTGGTAAACTATAATGTGTACCAAAATAAATTTATCACAAGCAATTTTGATTATTTCACTGACTGGACAAAAATTCTCAGAGATCCATGATCTTTCCTATGAAAAGTTTTGATCATTGACACGACCTCCAACACCTGCCAGAAGATATCTCCTACTTTCCTTTCTCGCCATACTGAATGCTACATACTCTTTGCCAAACGCCATGAACTTGCTTCAATTCTTTGAAGTTCACCCGTGCTGTACCATTTCAGTATATTCTCAGCTCATTTTCTTTTCACTTGAAACAGCTTTCACTCAACATGCTTTGACAATTCAATAAATCTTTTGGATGCCACTTCAAAGTGTGAATCAACAGTGAGTTTCTACTCCAGAATTCCCAAACACTGAAAAGCCCCCTATATGTCATTATCATTATTGCCTGATGTTCTCTAGTGAATAGCATTACATAATTTTAGAAAGTCATCTTTGAGTCATTATTTACACCATTTTCCAGCAATCTTAAAAGCAGTATGAGGCCAGGGTTATTTTTGCTGAGTTGGGATTTTCCCATGCTGAATCCCAATGTGGAGACAGATTATATGGCATAAAACACAAGCCTACAAACACACAAAAAAATGATTAAATAAATGATAGGATGTTCTAGAGAGATCTTACTGTCCAGAGACAATACTTGGAGAAATTATTTTTCTTCCCCAGAAGGCAGACCAGAACTGAGAGGCCCAGGTGTCACTGCCAAGGAGCACAAAGGGACTGAATGTCGGGAAGCCTGAAGACATCAGTGCAGAGGTATTCATTAGCCAGTGGCTTGGGTTCACAATCAGTGTTACCCAAAGAGACAAAATGGAAGAGAGAAAATAAAAGGAGATGAATATGCTCACCACAAACAGGATGGTGCGTGTGGCTCTGGCCTCATGGGAAGTTCTGGGGGAAAGGCTGCTGCTGTGAATGTGTTGGGACTTGCTGCTTGTGCCTGTGCAAGACAAGGACCATGGAGCCACTAGACCAGGCCATGAAGTCCAAACATGTAAGATCAATGAAGGAGAACATGACTGCATGTAGTGAGACTACGAATTCATTTGGAATGGGTGAACTACAGTATTCATAAATTTTCCCCATACTCGTGTTTTTGCTCTTTCTTGGTCCAGTAACATTCATAGCAATAAAGATATTTAATAGGAGATGCAAGATCCAGCAGAGGAAACAGCAGAAGTCAACACACTTTGGGAATCTACTCTTGAGCTCTATCCACTTAGAGGTATTAAGGTTGAGCTTAACGGCCTGGAAGCCACTGAGGAGGCAGGTAGTGCTGAGGGAAACCCCTCTGGCCACTCTGTGTAAATAGAAGACAAGTTTACATCCAACATAATCCAGGATATATTTCAACTCAAATGTTGCCATAGTCTGAGGAATTCTTTTATTAAAAAGAACCAAGTTGTTAGCTATGACTAGCTGGATGAGAATCAAGTCTGTGGGTCTCAACACGTGCCTAGTGAGCAAAGTAAAGATATAAAGACAAAAAAGTGAGGAATTTCCAAGGATCCCAACTCCAGTCTGAGTAAGGAAAATAATTTCCAAATTTAATTTTGTACAAACCATTTCATCAATTTAAAGGGGATATTGGTGGCTGATTTTATTTGAATCACAGGAATCTGGAGACTAAAATAGAAAATTTGGTTACTCTCATTATACCAAGAAAATTTCTCTGGTTGCATAATTTTTCAACTCAATATGAATATTTAGACATGCCTTTCATATGTGCAAAACAATTTCATGCAGAATTATTTATAATAACAAAGACTGGAACCAACTCAATGTCAAACCACAGGAGACTGAATCAATCGTGCATTTTCACGATGGAGCACTAGGCAGCCATGATGAGTAAAGTTCTCTCTACGGCTGCATTTCCAAGACATACAATTAAGTAAAAAATAGAAAGTGTCAGAATATTTTGTGCAGTTAGCCTTATTTTCCTAATAAAGGGAGTATAACTAATATATTATCCATTTACTATGTGTATATGGTAATATTTTTTAAATAGAAGAATGTATTTAAAAATTATAAAAATAATTTTTTATTTTTATAGGTGATAGTGGTGACAGAGTGGAGGAGAAAGTATGAAGTTAGATTGTTCTCAGTATATCTGGTTTGTGGCTTTGGTTTAAAACTTTTTACACATTCTAACTAAATATGGTAACAAAAATACTATAAAACATAAACATAAAAATGAAAAAATAAAGAAATAAACCTAAATGTGTGCCAAATTTGGGTTTAGCCAAAAGAAATTACTTCTATTGTATTTTATTTTATTTATTTTTTTTAAAGATTTATTTATTTATTTTCCCCCCAAAGCCCCAGTAGATAGTTGTATGTCATAGTTGCACAGCCTTCTAGTTGCCGTATGTGGGACGCGGCCTCAGCGTGGCCGGAGAAGCGGTGCATCAGTGTGCGCCCGGGATCCGAACCCGGGCCGCCAGCATCAGAAAGCACGCACTTAACCGCTAAGCCACAGGGCCGGCCCTATTTCTATTGTATTTTAAACACCATAATTTGAACATATATTCTATATTAATATGTGAACACAATAAGAGCAAATTATTGCAGGTATAATATCATGAGTAAAATAATTGGTATCTTAATTCTGTAATCATATATATTATATATATACACACACATATAGTGTATACATACTATTTTATTAAAAGATATCAGAGCTTCCTGAAGAAATGAATGAATCCACATCTGGGGTAGAAGGTATAGAAAATGATCTCAGAACTTCTCATTGTACAAGAAAACAAAGGAGCCACCCCAAACCACTGGGGTTATGTAAACAGGACCCAAGAGGTAACATGAAGGATTCCCAATGGCAAAGTGTAGGATATTTTCAGCATCAAACAGTAATTTTTTTTTTCTTTTGGTGAGGAAGATTAGCCCTAAGGTAACATCTGATGCCAATCCTCTTTTTTGCTGAGGAAGATTGGCCCTGGGCTAACATCTGTGCCCATCCTCCTCTACTTTATATGGGATGCTGCCACAGCATGGCTTGACAAGTGGTGCGTTGGTGCGCGCCTGGGATCTGAACCTGTGAGCCCCGGGCCGCCGAAGCTGAGTGCCCACACTTAACCACTGTGCCACAGGGCTGGCCCCCTCAAATAGTAATTTTAATAAATTAAAACAAATAAACATGTTTTAAAAATACATTTGTATCACTACTTTTAAAAAATAACCTTACATTTGGAGGATGATAGAAGACCAAATCAACACATTGAAAAGGGGAAAATAAAACGAAAGAATTAAGATATTTTTTTCTATCTAAATTTTTCCTTCAGGAATTTTCTCTTCCTAATAAAAGAAAAGGGGAATAGAAGTAGAACATGACCTAAATTGAGGCAATAATCATATGACTGTAGGACCCCACAGGTGACAGGTCTACAATGAATGTCCTAATGGAGGGGTCCAGAGGTCGACAGGGCAATACAAGAATCTATGAATATTTGCTGGATGGAAGATGGGGGGGGGTTCACAGATGAAGTGAGTTTGGCCCTGGGTGGTTTCTGTTGTACCTGTGGAGATGGGCTCACGTGTTTCGTATCATTACCTTCTTCTCTTTTGTAGATGGTCTAAGTTGGAAAGTATTTGTTGCAATAATTGACAAATACTGAGTTTGTCCTCTGTTTGCTACAACTTCGGTGGTGTTTCCCACTCTGACCAATTTTGTACTTGTATTACCACAGCAACAAATCCAGGTTGGTTTCTGCAATATTCTCAATTTTTATAAAAACAAGGTTCCAATGAAAGCACTATACAGGCAGGCAAAGCACATCTACTGTTTAGAAGTAGTACCTGGGCTTCCAATCACGGGCCTCAGCAATAAATAAAGATGCAGTTTATCAAGGGGACACTACCTCATGCACAACTTTTATTTCTTCCAAAATTACTGAGTATTGGTTGTTTTGCCCTGCTTTTCCTTTTTCTTTTTGTATTACAGTGGTTAAATATTAGGAGCACTTAAAAATTGGTCAGAAATAAGATCACAATGCTGCACATCACCATGTTTTGTTCAATATATTTTTGGCATAGCCCATCAATAAGATGAAATATAATCTTGGATGTATTTATGGAAATCACAAAACCACACATCTAACATTCAGAAAGGATGCAGGTGCATAATTGCTAAATACTATAAATAAAATGAATTCTGATTAATACTAGTAAGTATTTAAAATATACACAAATGCTATGTTTAAAAAGTAGTAATTTACAATTTTTTTCTAGAGATGGTGTTGTATTTAAAAATATGATGAGCAAAAAATATTATGAAAGATATGCTTAATTATGCGATTCAACCATAAAATCACAGAAATGTAGAAGAAACATTGAAAGAAAATGCATTACTTAAAAAAAAGATCTAAATAAAGCATAGATAAGCCATGTTCCCACATGGGAAGCTTTAACATTGTAAATAAATTCATAAAATACTGTAACTTATAACCAAATAATAACATTTACAAGTTTCCTGAGCTAGTGAAAAAGAAGAGAAATAAATGAAATTGAGTTTAATGCAAGGATTAATTATATGTTATTGAAAAACATGCAATTATAGCTTGTTTTAGTCACTAATCAGAGAGTAAAATTGAGGCTATGAAACAGATCATGGACAGAGTCTAGAAAATGTTGCAAAGTATTTGATATACAGGGAGATAGGCAGATAGAGAGAGATAAAATTCGATAGATATTTTTATATATAAGATAGAGAGACAAAGATTTACAGCTATGAAAAATAGTAAGAACTTAGTGTACAGGCCGGCCCCGTGGCTTAGCGGTTAAGTGTGCGCACTCCGCTGCTGGCGGCCCAGGTTCGGATCCCGGGCACGCACCGACGCACCGCTTCTCCGGCCATGCTGAGGCCGCGTCCCACATACAGCAACTAGAA